TCTATTGGGCAAATGCATGTGTCCTTTTACGTATCTGAAAATTTTAACTAAAAAAACCTATCCATTAATTTTATAAAGCCAAAACTGTTTTAAAAAGTTTACGTAAGGTTTTTTGCTTTTTTTGAAGCTGTTAGAAAACTACTGTACGGATCTAAGTAAAATAAACGCCTAATTGTAGATGAATATCTCCTATGTATTCAAAAGGTTTAAACGAATAATATCGAGCCATTATAAATCTAGGTCAAACTGCTTAATTAACAATTAGTACTCTTCGTTTTTAATTAACCCTTTAACAAATTCATTTTGATCAAAAGATACATAGATATAAATAGCATACTTTAGAAATATTTTCAGTTATAATTTACGCCTTTCTTTATAATAAAAACTCAAAAAAGCGGAATGTCCCTTTAAAACACTGGAGATATGTTGCGCCTTTTATCTAAGTAGATGTCCCAGAAACAATAACTTATGTAATATCAACTGCAGTAACAGAAGAAAAGATCTAAACGAAGTATTCAGCAACATATTTCAGATTAGATCGAACATGGCACCAAATAACAACAATTCTCTTTATTAATAATACCACCTGTAACGCTGATGAAAGTTATGGAGGGCAAAACCAACCAAGTTGTGTAACTCACTTGTAAAATTTATGGACATCATGACATATAGTGGGTGGAATTTCGTGCCAGGGTTCAATGCCATGAGATATAATCTAATGTTATATGTTATAAATCCCAGCTCACATTTCGACAACAGACGTAAACAAATCTATTCTGTCATCTTTACAAATGTACCCTACGACTTTTCTTATTCGAAATTCATTTCATGATTAGCTTTTGTCTAATGGCAGTAAGGCGCCCACCTACAACAGTCAGACAGTGGAATTATCCAAAGGTAACATATCCAGTGAAAATATATATATATAGAAATATATGATGAACCGGATAACAGCGTGTAACAGCACCTGTAAGCAATTATTATATGACACAATTAATGTTTTCATATAATAGCTGCTAGATACTATCGACAGATTTACAATATTTAGATATCGTTTCGATAGGGGCATAATATTGCTAGTAAAAAAATCCCAGAGCGAAAACAAGAAACTTGAGGCTGAACCGTATTAACCACTCCTCTATCCCAAACAACTTTCAAATTCCTTTTCATTTAGCGTAGGGAAAGAATTTCCCGTTACTCCCGTTGACTTCCCTAACTACTGATTCCCAGTAACTTCGGATATCACAGAACATCAGCTCCAGTATGTGAATGTGGTCAACCTGAACACACCAAAGACTGATAAGGGCAGTATACGCGTTACGCTCAAGTCAACAACTAGGATTCGAGGAGTTAAATCTATAATCGACCTGAAATTACCTTAAAGCTAAACACTTATTACCTATCTTATATTTAGATAATCCAACTTCAACGATTATCAGATTCTTCGAGGTGCTGTCAGATTTTGTTTGTTGCAAGGTCTATCTGAGTTTCACCTTCCCACATATCCCCAACGCAGATAGCATCTAAAGGCTTTTGTAAAAGACTAGAAATACAAAACATTCTTTTGTATCAATACATGGTCGTGATTTTATGAAATAGATATTTCAAATTACGTTAAACGATATGAAAGGAATTTGAAAAGAAACGATCGAAAACTATTCTAAATTCATGAAGTAACTTTTCAATGAATTACTTCACCAACTCATTTTAAGGAAGAGAGAAGATTTATTTGTTAAGAAACTGTAAAAAGCGAATCCACCTACTCTATAAATCTTAGGAATTCTTTGTTAGAGATCTTTTATATTCTCTCATAAAAGCATCCCAATTCTATCACTGTATAGAGGCAATATTGTTGTTTTTGTGGCGTCATTCCAAAATAGACGCTCTTAAAGGTCAAATGGCCGGATTTAGATTTTCAATTTAAAAATCCGATAAAGGAAATTATTTTCGTCCTATTCTGATATGTTGTTAAGTCGGAAATGACTTTTAAAAGACGCCGTGATCCTTCCATTCTCGTCATAGCACTCTTTATTATTACCCCAAAGGAAAGTGTGACGTAGGACGCATAAAGAGTAACGTCACAAATGTCAGGAAGTGGTAATTGTCAACCTAGTTCTAGCAACTCCATCTGTGTGGGTGTCCACAGATTTAAGCGGACGAGTAATATCATCAAGACTTTCAATATGAATATAGCAAGTCACCAACGATCGATCTAACTTTCAACACATTGACAGGGCGATGAAGGCTAATTCTTTACAAATAGATTGAAATGTAATGTTGCACATTGGTTTAGAAAACATTTGGTTATAGAACATTGCGTTATGTGGCTCAATTATAACATTCATTATTGCACCATGCACCATTAACATCGCTTCTTGAAAACACAGAATTTGTCTATCTTGGAGTTCCTGATTTTTATTTCATACACAGACTCGCTCTGACGTCAAAGACTTGCCGTCTGCAATTCCTCGCTGTTCCATTCATTGAAGAAAACAGTGTAAACACATTATCTATATTCCTAAAGGAGATCAATTTTAGACAAGAAGAGCGCTTTTAACCGCAGCCGAACTACTTTTTTTGATTCAAGATTCTTAATATGTTTCTAAATTTGGCTTTCTGAGATATTTTCGTCTTATTCAATCAATTTTAGAAATAACGAGCTAACATTACTAGTTGTTTTTATTTGACCCTAATAAATACATTTAAAACTTGACAGTTTATGTAATCCTTTACAGAGACCATTAGTCGACGTACAAATTTATCAAAATAAGAATAAAAGAATAAAATTTAGAATGTGAACATAATGACCTCTAAATATTTATCTGGGGTACTTGCATAGTCTAGGGGTACCACTGCAAATCACAATTCTAACCCGACAAGCCTATTAAACTTATTATTAAAGTTACAAGGTAGGGCCAATTTCAAAACTCTCATCATCAAGTTCTTAAATGCCTGGTGTTGTGAGACCCCCTAATATTTCTGTAGCCTCTACTTTACCACAAAGGGAAGCTGTAATAGCCTACCAAAGTTGACCAAGTCCAAAAACGGTTGGAAATCAAGATCCTTGTGGAAATTTATTCATTTTGTACACAACTGGTACTCATCTAATCTCCAATCTGTGTAGAGCACATAAACTCTATGAAATTCATGGAAATTTACATTACAGAAATCAGCATGCTTAAATTATAACACGATGGAATTTACTACCATAAGAAAACTAACGTATACCCAAAAACATCCATGAAAAGGTTTCATATAATTCGGTATTGATAAATTTCTCCGTCTTCCTTTCAATCTCTTGACAGTATTGACGTCATAGAATAGACGGAAATAGAGCCAAATTAAGGGAAGAGCTAAATAAAGAATTGATATTTTGTTAAAGTGATTCCAATAAAATGAACCGTCAGATTGAGATGTGTAATTGAAGGTCACATAATATGGCTCATGTTGTATAAATTAAAGAGAGATAATAAGTTTATTGGTATCTATCTATAGTCGGGTATTTTCTATAGGTGTACTATTACACTGGTGAATATGGATTAGAATCTCCATTATTAGAACATGAAATGTAGGGTTTTAAGACAATTTTCAACAAGGATGGGTCTTGTTCTGACAGAAATAGATTTTTTTTTGGAGTAATGAATTAAGATATTTAAGTAGGCAAGGCAGACCACGAAAGACTTTGAATTACTTTATCGGAAAAACCGAATTATAAGAAAAATAACATAAAAATTCATTCGAGCACTAAACCACACCTAACATATACTTACCAAACCGATTCAATATGCTTAGTACAGGACAACAGATCTCTGTTTTCGCAATATTCAGATAAACACTTACTGCAGTTTAAAGAATGATTGTCAAGACGAATGAGATTTATAAGGAGTGAGAATTAAGAAGAAAAGACGTAAGAAAAGAAGAACAGTCTGATTGATATGGACGAGTTGACGATGATAGAATGATGATGGTATAGTATTGGAGTGGGAGAATTTGTTTACTGAAATATCCACTCCTTTATTGATATTCTAAGAATAACTGACAACTTAGTACAAGAGCGGAAACAATCAGTTTATAAATAGAATCAATCTCAGAAATTATCACAATAATATTACAATGGCAATTCCCACTTGATACTTATTATTCCTGATAGAACTTTAATTCAGCTCAAATCAGTCTTCTTATACACGGGTATTAAAGGGGAGTAGTTTTTTAAAAATATGTTGCTTCCTGACTTGTGATATTCTAACTGGTACCCTCTGATAAAGTCACAAGTAAAGTCAATACTAGCTTCTAAATCCGCAGCTATAAGTTTAGATCACAAGTTGCTTTGCAGATAACATATTTTTTTTGTCTTGACAGGGGAAATCCTGTGCAAGTTTTTTTTAACTTACTCTTCTTAAGTACCTCGTTTTTTGTCTGGTTGATCCTTGTGTTTCGGACTACTTGCGACCAATTATATTTATTTTTTAAACGAAATGGTATGAAAATAATACACCGCAAATAATAACATATTTTTACAGAGTTAACGTTTAACCCACTGTTTCCAAATACTACACGAAGGAGGAAAACTTGATGGCAAATGTCCGGTCCTTGACCATATTTATTTGGTGCAGTATCAATATTTTAGTGAGAACGTGTGGACGGAAATAACACAAAGATGTCGTTTATTTACTAATCAAGTGGGAATGATAACAATGGAAGGAGACAACATATCGAACAACCTTTGAAACTGAGAACAGTGGCACAGTAGCAACTATTACTAGAGATGATAGTTGTACTGGAAAGGACAATGCAGCTTCTAGTGTATACTTGAGAGGATATCTTAGTAGTTCAGTTGAAACCCATACGGGAGAGAATAGTTAGTAGTAAGGACAGTTAAAGCTGATACTGGATAGGACAGTTCAGTAGTAAAGACAGTAATAGCTGATACAGAATAGGACAGTTCAGTAGTAAGAACATTTTAGTAGTAAAGACAGTTAAAGCTGATACTGAAAAGGTAGTTAGACAGTTAAAGCTGATACTGGATAAGATAGTTCAGTAATAAAGACAGTTAAAGCAGATACTGGATAAGATAGTTCAGTAGTAAAGACAGTTAAAGCTGATACTGGATAAGATAGTTCAATAGTAAAGACAGTTAAAGCTGATACTGGATAAGATAGTTCAGTGGTAAAGACAGTTAAAGCTGATACTGGATAAGATAGTTCAATAGTAAAGACAGTTAAAGCTGATACTGGATAAGATAGTTCAATAGTAAAGACAGTTAAAGCTGATACTAGATAAGATAGTTCAGTAGTAAAGACAGTTAAAGCTGATACTGGATAAGATAGTTCAGTAGTAAAGACAGTTAAAGCTGATACTGGATAAGATAGTTCAGTAGTAAAGACAGTTAAAGCTGATACTGGATAAGATAGTTCAGTAGTAAAGAGAGTTAAAGCTGATACTGGATAAGATAGTTCAGTAGTAAAGACAGTTAAAGCTGATACTGGATAAGATAGTTCAGTAGTAAAGACAGTTAAAGCTGATACTGGATAAGATAGTTCAGTAGTAAAGACAGTTAAAGCTGATACTGGATAAGATAGTTCAATAGTAAAGACAGTTAAAGCTGATACTGGATAAGATAGTTCAGTAGTAAAGAGAGTTAAAGCTGATATTGGATAAGATAGTTCAGTAGTAAAGACAGTTAAAGCTGATACTGGATAAGATAGTTCAGTAGTAAAGACAGTTAAAGCTGATACTGGATAAGATAGTTCAGTAGTAAAGAGAGTTAAAGCTGATACTGGATAAGATAGTTCAGTAGTAAAGACAGTTAATAAGATAAAAATTCCTCAATCCGTTCACTCTTTTCTATAAACTTTATTTTGGTCTTTAAAGAAAGGCTTGTAGGCATGTTTACACAACAGACGCATCTGTAAATGTGAAAGTCGAATACATCTTAAATTAATTCTTCACTGCATAAATGCTGTGACCATGCATAAGGCAAAATAACTTTAAATGAAAATTTGCCACAGACCACAAAAACAAATTTCTTCCATGCAAGATGCTCGAAAATTAATTTCACTACATACTTGTGAAAATATGAATAATCCTCTAAGTGCTTGATGTTCCTATTTCTATTTCTGCACAACGATATACGGGCAGCATTCAAACCGTGAAACAATGGTGAGGTTTTTGAGGTACATACCACGACAAATAGCTTGAAAAACTCTACAAAGTCTCCAGCTTTATCGTCTCAAACATATGAAAATCTCTGTTTGAACAAATAAGAAAACACAGAGATTAGTCGTGGCTAAAAACTGCTATGTATCACGCTCAATATAAATGCTAAACTTGCTTGAATTTAGATCAAATGAAAGAACATACAACAAATGGTCAAGTGCTTGTAAACATTTTGTTTACTTGTTTTGTTTACATCGCCAAAACAAATGAGGCCCAACTTTGCAGTTATACAAATCTTGGTTATCTCTTTCGAATTACAGCGTTAAAACTTTTACAACTATATCAACTTGGTGTAAACCACAGGTGGAAATGTTCGTGGTAGAAAACTCGAAAGTCAGTTATCTTGATAAATTTTAATTATGAACATGTATTAAAGGAAAATCTTATACTTTTATTACTTTATTCTCTACTTACATAGCTTTACCAAGAATTTTAACATTTAAGTTACATACGTCAAATCTTTAGACCTTAAAAAATCCAAAATGTCTGAATATTTTAAGTAAAATAGACTTCAAACTTCAAAATTGTAACCATTTACAATGAAAGTGACTCAGAAATCTCGAAAAAAGTTTGTGACCACAAACTTTTTCGAGCTGGTCATCACCTGATAGGTTAAGAAAGTGTTAATCAACAGTACGTTAAGACCATGACAGTTTTACAGTTAGTTCTGAAATATTCAGTTTACCATGGCATCAAGCATTATAACTAACGTAACATTATATTGTCCAACAACCAAAATAACCTGATGATATAAATCAATACACGTTTTTATGAGACAATAAGCATGTTCGACTTTCTAAATTTGATACCAAGACATGTTTGATCTCTGACAAAAAACAAGAGAAGGTATCGAAAATATCGCGTGCTTGCCTTTTTTCTGAAACGTGGATTTGTAAGTTGTATTGACAGACACCGTTAAGACAACATACCAAAATAACTTTAATATCTTAGATTGAAAACAAATCAATGGTATAATGTGATACACCTTTAATCACCATGGTCTTTCTGGTCATTATTATGGCTTTAATTTGATACCATTACATATTGAGTTCCATGTGATATCTACTTCCTGCAACCGATTGGGCTAGTGAAGACACATGTTCATTTAGCAACGATGTTTGGTTGTGATAAACACCGTTGTTAACAGAAAATGGTGAAAAAGAGAAAACGCCTTGCAGTTTGAAATTAATACGACTACGGTGAAAGAAACAAGTATTTCTAGCTGTCGATTATCGCTGATCGCTGACAGGCTGATGGACTTGGCGCTTTGGCCCATGTCAGCCATATAAGGTGTGTTTTTATAAATTGATACCGCATTTCGATTATATCATACTACTATTAAATGATGTTGAAAACTGTGAAAACAAACGTCAATGGCGATAATATCATAGTTGATACCATTTCCAATACTTCTGCCAATCTGTCAATCCCCTTTTGATCAATAGCGTGTTCGTTTTCTTCACTTTTAGAAATTGTTTATAAGGTGGGGACAGCTGGGGTTATTTTTGACAGGTTCACTCTAATTAAAGTGCTCTTTTGGGATTTCAAAGTTTTAAAAGCTAGTATAAAAGGTGTCTGAAACATAAAAATTCAATGGCCGAAATCAAATTTTTAAAAGAAATTGCAACAGCAAAATTTTAATGTAAACTCTATTACTACAAGCAGGGTTAATCCGTTAAATTGATGTCAACTCGCCATTCCTACCGAAGTGTCAACATATCCACATATACACAGAACTATCATTATTGTTAGTAATTTCCCCTTAAGTTGACTGCTTATGATTAAGGGCTACTTGTTTTCAAACGTATTTGGGATATTTGAATCTATCCACAGATGTCTGTCGTTATTATCTGTATCATCTTCATAATGGTCAAGGTATTGCGAACTATAACGTAAATTCGTAATACCACGAACATTACATGCTAGTCAAATTGAAAGTAGACTACTACCGGTTATACTCATCCGCTAGAGTGTGGCAGTTCACAAAATCTTAAAGATAATGAAATTTCAAATTCCAAATCTAGACCAAAAATCATTCAGATATGATAATTACTGCAAAAACCCCAAAAGGGAGAGAGAGAGAAGATTTCGAAAAATAGCCTGAAATGTTTTAGTGCAATGAGTCCTTGGTGTCCCAAAATCTATAAAAGTAACAGATATATACGCAATGTATGTTTATTAGTATTTTAACCTAAATAGACCGGACATCAATTATCAATAGCTCTATCATTTTCTACTGATTACATCACGCAATGTATCTTCACTGATCTGTTTCAACGCCTACTCGTATAGAGAATTAACTATTATTATTCCGACCGAACAATCAGATATGACAAGGTACCATCATTACTTGTAGGGAAAATTAACCGCTAATATCATTAACAGAGACAAAATTCATTCTCAAACAATATTAAGACGTTTGTAAGTAACAAATATTGTTGACGTAGCAGACCAACTCTATATTATAAAAGTACACCAGTCAACATAATAGGAAAAAGAAACAATTGTGGTTACAACCACACATAAACATGGATATTATATATTATAACATAAGTAGCGGCATTAATGTCTAGTTAGAATTCAATGTAGGCCTACAGACGCTCGGCTGTTTACACCACAAGCGGGGCGGCGCAGAGCAGAACAGAGCAATACGCTCTGAAAATTCGGCTGTATTTTTCGGCAGTTCCCCTGTTCAATTAGCATGACTCTGACACGTAATCCACCATAGTGAATGATTGATTTAAAGTCGCCCTGCTCTGCTTATATGTGAACGATAGATGTAACATATACGGACTATCTGAAAACTGGTGGTATTTTTGAACACAGAGCTTAACGCGCTTGTTGTGGATACCTGTCTGATATTCTATTTGATTGTCCCAAGATAGACGTTGACAGCAATTCTCCTGATTTGGTGTGTCGTCTACGTTCAGTGTGCACAGTAAAAAATGGCATCAACAGTTCAAGATATCCATTTTGGTATTGTCACTAAATTCGTATGGGTTGGAATGAGCAGCCAATATTTATTTCTGTTGATATATTTGCTAGATGCTGAAATTAGTCTGAAAATCCCTTGTTTCCATCAGATATAAGATTGATATGATACTATAACTAACTGATACCAATTTAGAATCTCATCCGTCAATTCAATACCGTATATTGATGGCATGTTTTTGTGGTAAAATTGGATTGTTTGGTATAGAATGTATTAACGTGTCAATTTCAACACAACACTATCTGGTAGTTCGTAGATATACACACTAGAATTTCGATGAAGGCTACAGAATAGAACACCAAATTTTGAGCGCCGAAAAATAACGTCACAACAAAATCTGATGACCACTTATTTTGACATTTGGTATACTTAAGAATATTGTCTACGTAATTTCGTAATCAAATCGAAATGTGCCGATAATTACCAGTACTATTTTGAGGCGGATATGCACTTCTCATTGAATTAATCGGTAAAATTCTATTTACCGGCGAGTACTTGAAGACAGTTAAGATTGAATTCTGATCGTCTCCTGGATTTTACTGAGTTATTGAAATTAGTTCTATGTTGTAACACATGACGTTATGTGTGGATCAGTGGGCGTTTGTATAGGTGGGTATGGGGATGGCCCCCACACCCAGAAATGATGCTGGGCTTTGCCCAACATTTTATCATTTTACATAGTGAAGAAATCATTTGCGCCTCCACCTCCCTTGGAAACTTTAGTGGCCTGTCATCTGATGATTCTTAGGAACGTCACTGTTGAGGATGTGGGTCAAAGGGGATTCTGCAGATTACTGCAGCACGCATCATACACTGGTAACATAAAGGTCAAGGAAACGGAAGTAGAATCCTAGTGATATTAATGCTGGGGTGATTAACGCTACAAGGCAGACGACATATAAAATTTATTGTAAACAAGTCAGATCATGACGTCAATGATACAATAAGAAGCCTGAAGAAATGTCTTGTAACCATGCACTTGTAACAATTCTATATTACTTACGTGCTAGTATTAATTTATCTTTACGGTGAGTATCATCAGAAACCTTATCATGTCTAGCTTCCATGGGGGTGGGTAGAATTTGTCATGATTTTCACTGATGTGTCTCGACAACCATCAAAGATAAAAGAATGGGGTTTCAGTGACAGACATGAATAATAACCTGCTGCCTATTTCCACCTTTCAATTTGACAGTTGTACCATTTCAACCTTACCATTGAAATCTAGATTCTATAGAGGCTTTCCCGCCAGTGTATGTATCTCCACATATCAAGTTATTGTAAAATATGTTCAATTGTTTTTAGATTTACATGAATCCAAGTTATTAAACGAAAATAATGAATGACATAAATGGAAAATTCCAATGTTCTGGAAACCATTATTCTAGAAAAACTTTGAATCTTTTGTCTGAGTACAAAAAAATCCACTCGATTTCAAATGTTTATCAACATGCCAATGCATACCTACATTAACATTTCCTGTTCACGAATCAGTCCCGAATGGCTCTGTTTCATTGCTCTGCTATCTCTTGCCATCTAACCTTTTGTATTGTTTGCTCTCTTCCATTTTAAGTCAACTGATTTGCTGATGGATACGGGGTTTATTTTTAAATTGTTGATTTAAAACAAAATGAATGACTTTTTAATAGTTTGTTCACATACATTCATGACTAAAGAACATGACCATGAAACAAATAGATCCTAAAGAGTTTTCAATCTTCAAGCTTTTATTCATTCTATTCATATCCTAGATTAGGATTTTATGATAAAATATTTTATTCAAATATAGCTGAGTAGGCTCGTACCAGATGTCACTAAAGAAAAAAACATATATTTCTTGTTTCAGTCTCGTCAACAAAAAAATCAATGTTATTTTTAGATGAATCGTGCTTTTTAAATAGGGCAGATGATAATTTTACTTTAAAATATGACATTTGTACTACAGAAACAAAAAAGTCACTTGAAATGGGGGGGGGTTTATATTATCACCGGTTGAACACCCACACTGAGGGGAGGGGGTGGTCCAAATGGCTGGGATCCAGCCCCGCTGCCCCACCAACGGTTATGCCACTGCAAAATAGGTTGGAATAGAGGCAGATGTTTTGGACTAGTAAAGCGTAAAACTCTCATTACATTTCAGTACTTAATTCCAAAGAAGAAATTGATGGCTATAGAGGATTTGTATCCATATTGGTTGAACTTAATGTCAACTAAATCGATGGTTTATTTTAGAATAAAAATCCTGCTGATTTGATATTTAAGTTGATTATCCCACACTGTGATTTTACTGTCAGATTAACTTAGATGTCACATATGGTATGTAGAATAGATCCTTTAAGCTTTTATTTATTCCTTCTCGTAAACAAATTTCACTAAATCACAAAATTCTACTTATATAGGAAGAGTGGCGAAGAATGGGGATCTTTTGATGCAAATGTGAAATATTTTCATACTTGTTAAGACAATCGTATGTTGTTGACATTGGTGTGTGTTTTACCTACATAACACCTTTAGTACAACCTTAACAGTTATTTCATAAATACTTATATACTATAATTATCGATTTTAGTGTTAGAAGACATTGGGAGATCAGGTGCCCGAACAAGGCAATGGATCTTCTTAATTTCATTTAGCATCGATATGGCACATTAGGTGCTTCTCATATTTGATCCAGTTTCACAGGTAAGACATAATTCTGACTGTGTTTCATGTTCAGACCATGTCCTTAAAATGTTGGTGGTTACCAACCATAACAACCCCTTCCCACAATCATATAATCATCAGAACAACATAACATTAGAACTACCGGTATTCACAAATCACAAGAAGATTTCTTTGATTCCTGCCTTAATTAAAAGACTTTCACGATGTTTATGACCGATATTACACGAGGGTATTGCTCTTGTTGTGAACTTGATTTGTCCTTACATGTATACAAGGTTAGACTATTGATCTCAGCTTATTTGTTAAAACCATCACCTTTACCAATTGCTTCAAGTTATTTTCAACACTACTTAATTCACTGGCCCTTCTCTTCAGCATATGGTGAACTTTAACTTGCTACATGTTTGGCTTACAACTAATCGGATTATACTAATCACTGTTCAATAATCACAAGCAATAGAGTCGAGTAGAAAAGTACATCGAATAGGTTATTATGTGTCATTAGCAAATTTTTTAAAAAAGGATTCAAGCTTTTAAAATCCAGAAACCATTTAATTCTTCTAGAGAAAGGCTTGCTGGAGGGATAGTTCTATTAAATATTTTAAATTGTTCAATTTAATCAGAGCTTTACTATACGGTTAAAAACGTACTTTATACACAAGTTGCCCTGAAGAAATCTGATCGAACACAATATTTTATAAAAAGGAAGGGGGGTTAATTTCATTAACTAATTTCACAATAAGAATTAGGACGAGTAAAGATATTGTGAGAGACGGACTAAGTCTCCTCCTGGGATTTCGACTTGAGACAGGATTGTCAAGTAAAACACGAAAACACCCGAATCACCGAGCCATGGATGCTATCAAAGACGTTTTGAAATGTGATCTAGAAAACAGATGGTATGATAAAATGAATTGGTATTCGAGATGATGTTATAGAAGGTAGACAATATAAAGCTGTACCTGAATATACGTCATACCTATTGATTGTACTATATAAATCATTGATTACAGACTAGTTTATGTATAGATTTTTATTAGGTTTATATTGTTTAAACTATATTAAATAAATAGAAGAGTGTCTAATATCAGCTCGAATATCTATAAATCACGAATAGATCGATACTCGAACACTCAGTACACTATTTGTATGTATCTATGATATTACCATAGATGTTCCTCATTTTAAAGATGGCGTTTAACCATGAGGCTAAAAAAGGGGTGGTTCAATTTAACTATTAGATTTAAATTAACTGATCCCAATTACTACTGGAAAAAGAAACACTTTCCCTGATCAGTTAAGAAATGTCTTTAAAGGGGCAGATGCGCCATTACTTCATTAATCAAAAAAATCTCTCAGACATTTTTTACCGACATTGTCGGCCACTGTTATTTTAGTTTTGTTTACTCGGAAAAAAGGTCTTGTTTGACAAGTTCAACTATTCGATAAGCCAACATTAAGAGTAAAATAAAACACAAGAAAATTCTATCTGCTATGCTAATCTAAGGTGTCGACATAGTTTTTAAAAACCCTTTAAACACATGAAATGGCGATATCAGCCACAAAAACGTAACTATTCCACAAAACCTTTGCCCGAATTTACTAAACTAGAATTAAACTTTTGATATTTCACTCGCCCACATTTGCAATGGGTAAAAAGGTGTTCAGACTTACCTCTGATAAGTATGCGAGAATACTTCGAGAATACTTCTGGTAATTATGCCAATATACATCTGGTAAGTATGTGAAGATACTTCTGGTAAGTATGGGAGGATACTCCTAGTAAGAATGAGAGGATACCCCTTGTAAGTATGTGAGGATAATTCTGGTAAGTATGAGAGGATACTCCTAGTAAGAATGAGGGGATACTTCTGGTAGGTATGTGAGGATACTTCTGCTAAGTATGAGAGGATAATCTTAGTAAGAATGAGAGGATACCCTTGGTAAGTATGTGAGGATAATTCTGGTAAGTATTCGAGGATACAATAGATAAGTATGTGAGGATACTTCTGCTTAGTATGAGAGTATACTCCAAGTAAGAATGAGAGGACACGTCTTTTGAATATGCGAGGATAATTCTGGTCAATGTGTGAGCATTATTCTGCTAAGTATGATACTTCTTGTAAGTACATCTTGTTAGTAAGTAAGTGAGCATCATCTAGTCAGTAGTGAGGATACCACTGATAAGCTTAAAATAATGAAGTATGGAAGGATCTGTCTAAACGGTAGTTAAGCCTGAATGTGTGTCAGACAATCAACGATAGTTACAAACATAATACAATGTAAATTGTGGCTTGTAAAAAGACAGAAGTAAAATAGTTTGTTGCGTAACAGAGATTCTTGATTCGTTGTCTTTGTTATCTATTAACATTGCGCAAGTGACACAAGGGCGATGACATGCACCGATTGTCTAAAACCACAGTTCCAAAACTTAAAGACTCCTTGTACACCAGAAACTTAATACTTTATTTCCTAGTAACCTTCCACCAAGGCTACCAAAAGTGACAGCTTAACAGTGAACAGCTTTCAGTATTGAAGGATAAGCTATCGACCAAAAAAACCATGACATTTTTGCACATTCGATAATTAACCTATTGTTTCTGAATTTCAGAAGTTTCCTCAAAACCTGCCTGCCAACGGATTTGGAAGTAGTTGTCTAGATCTGAATGTCTTGCCTTGTCGTACTAGGGCAGAGGTATTATTTAAACAGACAAGTAACTCTCAGACGTTACTGTGAACAATGTTGAGGTCCTCAAGTGTTCAATGGCCATTCTCGTTCAATCAAGATGAAGATCTTGTCCAACAGGATGGAAAACACATACATAAATGTCAAAATTTTTATTTTTATTACAAACTTAAAAATATGTAACAATATAAACATTAAGAATGACGAAATATTCCTCCAACTTGGAAGAAATTCAACTACTAAAAGTTCATGTCGTATTGCACGCAATTGATATAGAAAATATTACCATGTGGCCGTAAATAAAAGAAATCATAGATCCATCACCGAGCCAAAGTAAATTGACCATTTTCTAATTTCTCGACCCAAAAAATCAAAATTTCGAATTTTTAAAATTTTATTGAGACAGTGAGATGAATTATTGAGCTCTCCAAATATAGAAAAGTAACTATTTGAACACGTGCCTCATATTCAAAAATATTTTTTTACTGTACAAAACATGATTTGAACAAGTTTTCAATTTTATAAATAAATAAATAAATAAGAAAAGATAAGAATATAAGATATAAAATAATTCTTATAAACAAAATAGACTAGAGAGATACTCATGATTTGTAGAGTATATATTACTACATTTCTAACAAAATCACTTAGGAAGCCATCTCTGTCTACCCTTCCCCGCCATCTTCTTTTACATAAATATAGATGTGTGATTGTTTGTTATGTCAAGCATCAAAGGAAAAGATAGACATAGAAGATCAAAACTACGCATCTAAAATCATAAAGACAATAAAGCTAAACCCATTTACGACAGATTTCGTTACAGATTAAGGCAAGAAAAAGATTACAATACATTGTCATGGAGTCTCTTAAGAAAAAGGCGGCGTAGCCTCGAATGTACCAATGTCAAAGCAATGAAGCCTCGATTATTGACAACCAAATATTTATACAAAATCAATTATCTACCAGAGCTTGGAATGACTATGAAACACAAATGAAGGATATCACCATGCTTTGGAATAGGAAAAGTTCTAAAGTCGAACACGATTTAATCTATATCTGGGAGATTGGCATGTTGATAAGTCTTAACACCGTAAAAGGTAATTCCCTTAAAACACTCCCCAATTAGAAGTTTTTGTAGGAGATAAGAGTTATATTACCAGATCAAAGTAAACATGAATTAAAATATATGTAAACTAAATTTAAATTTTCACTCAATTCAAGCATAAATCTAGTTATAAGAATTTTGAACATTTTTGTCAGTTTGGATTAAAAATGTTGGTTTTAATATTAGAGAAATATTCTCTTCAAAGCGAACAATACAGTTGGCCATTAGAAAAGAATGTTTTTACTATTGTATATTCAATAAAATCTATTGAATTATTGCCATAAGCAGAAAGCAAACTACCATTGAAAATGATAAATAAGGCAGCCATATTGGAACTATAAAGCTATGAATATAAATTATATACAACAATTATCTGTATAACAAAGATACACTCTAATTGATTGCAATTACCAAGTTATAAGAATTATCAGTTTCCATTCAAATAAAATGGTATTGTCCTCGTGCTGAAAGAACGACATCATTAATGACGTTATTGTGACAATTGTGCACCAATTTTCTTCTTTTTCTTTAACACTGTGCTGCGTCAAAAAAACATCCTCATTAGGAAAAAAGTTATAAATAGAATAACCCTGATGCACAAAAAAATCATCATTTAAAAAATATAATATCCCTTATATAATAAATAACATAGATTAAATATTATGAGAGCAACAAGGTTAGAAACAGTAACGATGAAGATCTCCTAAATCGCTATTTATGAACAAGGGTAAAATGGGGGTAAAATCCATGAGCATTAGCACATAAAGGAACCTGGATAATTTCTAACATGAAATGAACCACAAAGACCACACCAGATGTATTAAGCATGATGCAAAGTTTGTCCCAAACACTCTCTTATGTTAACTCTTCGCTGATATATTAAGCACCATCATCACCCCTAGAATCCCTTTTGGCAACAAGTCTTAGATAATAATACTATTGGAACACAACAATAGACTTACAAAGATCACCTTCCAATACGAACATTTTACAGTTTAGAGTTCTTCAGAAACAACTCGGTCAGTACGTTTACACAAAACACAAAAATAGTCGTCTATATAAAAATAATCAACACCTTTATAGGATATGGATTTGTATTAAAAAAAGGGATGAAATTATCTTAGCTATAAAAATATATATAAGGAACTCTTTATATAAAGACTTATTATTTTTCAAAGAGACAAACACCATCACCAAAGCAAAAGTTTAATTAGCCAACAGGAGTTGCTGAAGATGATTTTGGTAACTGACGTTATTCTGGTTAAAGCTATCCAATAAACTTTTGGGTACGTCAGGTGAGAGTGAGGTGGTTGGTGATTGACTTGAAAATACATCAGGTAAATTTAAACCCAATGATGATTGAGGTGAAACTTGGTGAGTAGGTGACAGATGAGTTGGTGATTGATGTTGATAGAAATCATTAAGGAATGCAGCACCAGAAGCTGTGGGCGACTGTGCAGAGTATGGGTGAAGTTGTTGTCTATTCTGTGTCATCAACATACGATGTTGCTGATCAATCATAAATTCAACTCTGGGATCTCGTGGGGATAGTGATCTAGGTCTTTGTGGCATGTACTCGCTTGGGCTGGTTTTCTGGCGGAAAAAGTTTCCGAATTCTGTTGGTGACAGTCTGGTTGGTCTTTTAACGTGGGTCTTTGGCTTAGTTGAACCAAACTTAGTAGCAGCAAATGAAGCAGCAGTGAATTTAGGAGCTACTCGTTCTTTGTGAATATTGAAATTGGTATGTGGTACTTGAACAGCCGAGTTGAACAATCCAAGAGAAGGAGATGTTGATGCACTCCAACCACCTGATGAGATTGGTGAGGATGGTGATAGACTGAGATTACTCAATGAGGATGACAGAGAATCAATTGGCTTGAAACACTGAGCTTCAGGATTGAATCCTTTACTAACTATCATGATTTCGCTATCCACTGGTTCGGGAAGGTCTTCTTCTGGCTTCTTCTCGCTGTATAAAATCTTAATGACTCCCTTTTCTCCGATTCTATAAGAGACTTCCGAAGGGTCAATCCAAACTGTGAGCTCAGCGGGTAAAGCATTTTTAATTTCGTCTGCATCCAAACCGACATTGTAAGCAGCCATGAGAATAACCGGATCGACCTTTTCCCCATTTACCTTAACACATCGGTATCCGGAACCCTTACAAGGCATATCAGGGTACCAATGACCTTCAAATTTTTTCTTGAGTCCACGCTCTAATTCGTCAGCGAGCATATCGACTCGTCGTCGGGGTAATTTACTGTACAGGTATGATATCACAAAATTTAACGCTACTGAAACTTCAACGTGCATTATGGCGGTCGGTGTGTCACTTTAAGAGAATGTTGGACTTGGAACTAATTCAGATAAAACACTTGAGATAATCTAATCCTGGCTTAAAACTCTACTCTTCACCAAAATTGTGTTGGGCTGTACTTGATTACACTACGTTTCTTTAAACTCAACTTTCCAGTCACTGAAATAGAAGATAATATACAATACAGATACATCTATTTTATTTTCTAAAAGGGGCGTTGAAAAGCACTGGATTCCCGCTTGCAGGTTCACATAAGTCTGTCAATTATTTCATGAACAAAATGTTTTATATTATTTCTTTAATCATAAAGAAAATATAAATGTCTTGTGCATGTGAGGTGTCATTACCCCTGGCATGACATTAGCTTCGCTTCACTGATCAGCGACGAGCTAAAAAAGTAAAAAAGCAATGAATCATCTCAATAAATATATCGATTTGTCTTAAACTGTGACAGTTATTGGTAATAAGATAAAGGCAGGCATTATGTCTACTAAACCTACCCAAAATAAAAAGTGACCTTACAGGCGGGGATTATTTAGGCCTGATTAAAAACATGTTAGCAGCATATTTCTAAAGTGATCGCAGATCGTATTTGCTGCTAATACACATTCCGGTGAGCAGACACGATGGTTTTTTACTGTGCACACATTGGCGGGGATTTTAGATTAAATACTTAATACATTGAACGTCAATGTGCAGAGCAGATAGAATATGTTTTACATGTTTAACTGCACCAAGTAGTTCCTATTCCCGAGGCTAATTTACAATGTTTTGGGTTCTGTCTAGACAAGAGGACAATCATTTTAGTTATAGAATTTGACAAGTAGGTTTGTTTTCATAGCCTTTATAGCCAGGTATCCTTACGGTAAGTTAACGTCAGGCTTTAAGGCGCCCACGTAGTCAAATCTCTGTCTACTTTACATGTACATGTTTACGTACGTTTTGACGGTCATGGTACGTTGACTTAAATTGTAAGACAGCCATGTAGACATACGTGGTACATTGACATTGGGTTTAAGACAGCCTTAGCCAAATGCCTGCATGGTACACTATATAAGTTTGGACTAAACGGCAGTCATCAGGTTTCGTCGAATGGCATAAATAAAAGAAATAATAGGAGACAATCACCTGTGAAAGAAGTTGATAGTTGACGATAAGATGATAGAAAGAAGGTTGAGGGTGATTCTAGAGAATAGAAAAACATGACATGATGAATGAATTAAAGGGTAAATGAATGAATAAATGAATTATGAATATAATGAATAACTGAAACAAAAGTTAAACTCTAACAAAAGGTTCAATATTAAAATGTTTCTGATAGACACTTAGTTTATATTTTAAATATTTAATATTTGTCTGTTGAACCTATAGATTGGTATAAATAAAGGATTGTTGTTTATCACAATCAAAACATCAGGGAAATAAAAGTTTAACAACAATACTTATGTTTAGCTTGTCGTGCCTGAAAACGAATGTTTTGTATTAAGAAATCAATGTTAAAATCAAATATTGAAAACAATCAAATTCCCTCGTTTTAAGCTGATGATAAAAAAACAAACCTTGTTGCCCGCTATCCCGGGTCAGAAAATTATGTAGGTCACGGTCTGGAATGCAAAATATCGCAGACAAAATAAGAAAGTGGACATTTAAACCTATCAAAATATCAGGAATAGAGCAGAATTAAGCTGAAGGTTATTGCAACTAGGAAACATTTCAGATGCATTTAATACAAACGGATACAAACCAAACTGAAACCCTCGACAGGAATTGAACCTTTGTTCCAAAAACTTACTGAAAATCAACCTCAATTTACTTACGAATATATATGAGTTTAACTTACAAAGGCGTTCAGTCAAATCTTCAATTATGACTGACCGCTATACATAGGGTTTACGGTAACCACCACCCACAATAAAACGAAGCAGACCGAATGAAAAGTTTACCTTGTCTAATAAGACCCACTCAGACAATCTTATCTGATTCAATCTCTTTCCATAATAAAAATCCGTCCAGAACTGATATGGAAACTCTTCATATACTTATCTCTAAGAGAACGACCTGACACTTTGAATGTTATAGACTGAATAGTGAATAGTAATTAAAGTTTATCAAATGTCAAACGGTTCAAATTGATAAAGCTCATATAATATCGTCATTATTCTAGCGAAGTGTAAAGCATCTTCATAAAGTGTAAGTAGAAATGTCAAGGTTTAATCAGAATGCCTATTCTGTAGTTTCAAGGGCAATCACAGATATATGTGCCAAGCTATCCTGGTAACTCTGTAAATATTTGTTATCTTGTCTCTATGTTTCTGTATTCAAATAATAAATTTGCAGTATTTTGATTGTTGTCTTCTACATCAACCTATTTGTGAAAATTAGGTAGAATGTTTGTATTAATGTACAGTAAACAATTTGTTCTATATGATTGCCCTTAAAAGTGTCAATATTTTTTCATCCCCGAATGTTGTTATATGAACCTTCCAGCCAAAAGAAACTGTAGAAATTGGCTACAATGTGAAATGAAGGTGAATTGAGGACCAACAAAGTTAAACATTCACTAAGTTTACTCACCTATCGTTAATCAATTCTACCAAACAAGTGCCAACTATTTTTCATCGATATGCTTACCTTACCCAAACACCCACACTGTCAGACAAACTCGCTTTACCAACTAGAACTAATAACAAAATAAATCTTTCCTACCCAAATGGCCTTCTACATCCAACAAACTTGAAACACACCCTGATTTTTACCTATCTTGTAAACTCAACAACCTACTAAAAAACTTTATTAAATTGACATAAATGAAATGAAAACTTTTTGCAATTTTAGAAAAAGTGTGTATAATATAACCTTATTCATTGGCATGACGATATCATTAATCAAGAATAAATTAAAGAATTTATCATAATAAGTTATGCTTGAAATAGAAAAATTAATTGAATTATTCTACAATATGACATATAAATGTCACTTTCTAAATTGAATATAATATAAAGTTATGTTCCACCACTCCAACAAACAGAATGAATGAAATGATAGGTTAGAAGACATACAAGTTGCCCTCAAACACCAAACAAGCACAAAGATAGATAAAATAACTATATCAAGGCAAATTTTATTGACATCATGCAGGCCTAAAAAACTTATATAAACGCCCTTTCAGTCAAAGGCCTTGCTAAATTTCCCGACATTTTATAACTACTAACGGTAATTCACCACCTGTCTCTTATGTCAGGGATGTTATTCTCTTCTCACAACCAATAACTAGCCTTACTTGATGTTTTTTTCACAATATGGATCATGTATTGAAATTGTTCGTGCATTTTTCTTAAGCTCCCAAGCATAGTATTGACAATTTAAACATTTGCTGAAATAATTTCAAAATTCCGAAAGACAATGATTGTAAACCGGATCTTTGTAGATTGATATCTTTTAATAAACATACAGCTTCAATTATTTTGCTTCACACTTTGTTAACTGCATCAGCAAAACTCGTCTTTTTTTAAAAAAAATTATTTCATTTTTTCCTCATTATAATAGACTTGTCTTGTAATTCGGTTCGATAATATATCGCGATTTACATAACAGTATTCAGTGACATCTGTTTCAGAATTTTATTAGATTGAAGTTAAAGATATTTTTATATTCAGTTTATTGATAAAAGAATAACATTAAGTACGTCACAGAACGTCACTTTGACGTATACACCACTCAGTTGATCCGATTTGGTTTCTATGAGGTTGATCGTTTTTTTGTACCTCAATAAGTTATAGGGTATTTTGTTGGAATACCCACAATAACTGACAGAATATGATATCTGCATTTAAATTACTCTAAATGATCGAACATAAATCAATTAAGCATTCTTTAGGAAACGCCGAGTAGATATGCAATAAAGACATTATCAAAGCCAAAACCCAAACACATATATAGTGAATATATGTTATATAAACTCATGCATGTCGAGGTCACACTTGCAAAGTGACATTAACAATTTAAAAATAAGGCTATATAAAGAAAATAAAATAATAGGAATAGTTCCAACCTAAATGTAATCCAGAATAAGTTTTGTGCTGACACAATGATCTCTTTCAGCAGGCAATTGAGGCTAATATTCAATGTTGCCGCATTTTGTCATAATTGAAAGAGAACAATATTGTTTAGGTTCCTGTCAGTCTTTTATTCTGGTAATGCAAAAGCATTGAACATCATATTTAGGTTAGATCATCCTTCATGCAAGTACTTAAAATACAGTACCAAAGTTGACAAGAGGAGAACAGAAATCGCAACTCTGCGCCCGCACAAAAGCAGCACAAATATTTGAAGAGAATACTTTACCACATGTCGCATGTGTCACGGTGTCATGTAGAGAATGAATATTACAATATAGATATATTTCAGGATATATAATATTATTGAATCGATAAATTCCTTACAGCCACTTTCCTTTAATTATTATTATTATTATTATTATTTCAAATAACCTCGAATATACTTGCCGGTAAATTTCCTTTTCATAACACCTACGCTTTAGGCGAAAGTTATAAAACTTTATGAAATAATATTAAATCGTTATTTTAAACTAGGTTTATCTCATACTTAGCGTATCAGACATGGACCATATGTAACGCTATCAATTTTTTTGTTGAACTTGGGTACCAAATCATTCTCGATTCAATGAACTTAGATTCCAAATTATTCTCGATGTTATGAACTTGCATACGAAATTATTCTCGATATTATGAACTTAGATACCAAATCATTCTCGATGTCATGAACTTATATACCAAATCATTCTCGATTCAATGAACTTATATTCCAAATCATTCTCGATTCAATGAACTTAGATTGCAAATCATTCTCGATGCTATGAACTTAGATACCAAATCATTATCGATGTCATGAACTTATATTCCAAATCATTCTCGATTCAATGAACTTAGATTGCAAATCATTCTCGATTCAATGAACTTAGATTGCAAATCATTCT